GCACTACAAAAGCATTTGTTCCAATATTTATTCAGAGATTTTTCATGCTACACCTACCACGGACTTTAGTTTATTGAGAACATAGTGCACTGGGGAAGGGCAAACCACATAGAGTCCATAGTGCTGCCAAGCAAAATGTCATTAAGGCTTTAGCAATGCAACACAAATTGAGTTTACATAAAAGCTTCTTTTGTATAAACCATATCCCAGAGTGAAACATAGTGACAGAGCTGAGTAATGAGTTGAAGCAGAGCAATCAAGGTGGAACTACCAAGCAACAGGGAAAAGGATCCATTCCAAACTTATATTTAAGATGAGAATGGAGAGTTTAATTTGAACCACAGAAGAGGTGATTATGTACAGTCACCGCTACACACGCATTTAATACTATGTAGGGTGCAGTATCTACCACCTGCAGTTGCACAGAAAACACCCCAAGGTCCCATGGCACTATAAAGACCATCATGAACTGGAAGCTGAGATTTTCTTAATAGGTAACCTCTATACAGCTGAGAACCTCTTCTAAGCCTGGAACTTCAATTCTCTCTCTTGTGCTACCCAGCACAGAAACCCACAACTCAAAGTTCACCATTTCATCGTTTCAAGCTTCTCCTTCACACTCACTGAAGCCCTGTCTGGCCCCAGGTGTGGTGGAGAAACACCCATGCTATGGCACTGTTGGTGTAACATCAAAGTAATTGAGACTTATGACTCCCCCCAGCACTGTTCTGTGTAAAAACACAGCACCCTGAAATGTTGTTTCTAAGCAAGACACAATAAGCAGAGCATGGTAAGTTTGTAAGTACCGCTCACTTGTGGTACCAGGAATCCTAAAGTGTATTTTGCACTAATACTCATCACAGTCACCAGGGAGCGAGTTCAAAGCACTGTCCATTCATGCGAGGTGGATGCAAATGGGTTTAGGGATGACCTAGAGTTCATCGGAGACTATACACATCCATTCAATGTTCTCTGTGCTCTGACCAGTTCGTAAACTAAATCGGATTAGACACATCAGCCCCTCGGTGCTTAAAAGGCTGCCCACTGCTGCAAACCCCACTGATGCAGAGCACCCTTCACACGGACAGATGGGGACCATGTAACAGCATTAGAGGGTTATGAGGCTCTGAGACAGGAGCATCAGGATCTGTCAGCCTGGACAGAATTGTTGTTTCCTCCTTGAATGAGGAAGCTAAATTTTATTTTTTTTTATTTTTTTTAACAATACATCACGGACAGAGTTTTTCAGAACTTGCAAAAAATACTTATAAACAGCTAAGAGTGGCTTCAAAGAGAAAAGCCATGGAAATAACTGTATCAAGATTTCAAGGCACTGCTAAGTAGATCAGCGTAGTAGGTTTATCAAGATATAAACTAACCCCCCCCAAAACCATACAGATCAGCCATACCCTGCCCGCAGAAGCACTGAATGCTTAAAATGAGAGAAGGGAGATTCAACGAGCATACATTTTCCTGGCAGCCCTCCATATGTGCATATAAACCTCTCATAACCAGCGCACTGATATTTAAACTAATTAGCAGCAGGGAAGCCACGGGACCATGCTTTTCCATCAGCCTATTCACATGGAGAGAAGGACGAAAAAACGACAGGGATTTCATCCAGCTCACGTATGAGAATGCAGCAGTCCCTGATCCCCGCTGCACCCCCTTCCTCCCCGAAGTAGCAAGGCAAGAGAAATATGGTGCAGGACACATTTCAAGCAGGGAAAAAAAAATAAAAAAACCCATAACCCCACTAAACAAAATGCTCGCTCAGCATTATGCTGGAAGATATAAATAGAAAGCAGGAGAGCTGGTCCGGAATATCAAGCAGCATTCCCTATTCATTGCAGCACTGTGTGAGCAAGAGAGAACCCAAATCAACTTTCCCTTCACTCTGTTCTTCTCCTGGAGGCTGCACCTTGTTTAAATTTCCTATTCCTCATAAACACGCCGGAGGGGAATTAGCTTTGGGGAGCTGCGGACTCACACATCCACCATCATCCCAATGGCAACCCCCCACCAGCCTCTGAAAATAGCTCATGACTTAGTGAGGAGAAAGGACAGGCTGGGTTGGGGATTTTTTTGTGAATATTCAACACCTTTACACAGCAGGTCTGCCTCTGATTAGCATAGGGGATGTCAAAGACGCTGGCTCTCATGCAAAGTTGCCATTCTATCTAATTAGACGGTGGCTTCCTCCAGCATATAAATGTGGGCTCTAGTCCCTTGTACAAGAGCAACACAGGACAGAAAGGGGGAAAAGGAGCAGAGAACAGGAATGTCTGCAGTCCTCTTTGCTAAGTTAAAGGCTAAAAATTAAATCTCTAGCCACAGCTAAGATAGAGAGAACTAACACATACACCCCTCCACACATCAAGAGGATGGATCCAGGCTGAACCTCCTTCTGGAGTACGGCCCCAGTGATTTGGGTCAGCACAAACCCAGCCTGGGATGGGAATGTCACCCTCCACTTCTGCCATCCAGACCATGAAACATCTCCCAGAATTGCTCTGAAACTGGAGAAAGTAACTCATTTCTCCCCTTGTCCATTGTCCCCAGGAAGAAGCCAAGTCCCAGCTGGCAGGACCTGCCTGAGGGTAAATCACAGAGGCATAATGGATGTGGAGGGCCCTGTTTTGGGTGACTCTTTGGCATTTCAGCTGTCTGCTGCAGCAAAGCCTGCAGCCTTGGGCACCTTGAGGTCCCATGCAAGCCTGGCACAATCAAGACCAACTGTTCCCATAAAAGTAAAGGCTCTAAGTGCTAAAACAAAATGCTTTGCACATAAACTGTTTTCTCCAGCCTGAGAAGTGTACTTTTGGAAAAAAAGAAATGCTGAAAGCCTTTAAAAGTCAACTCAGTTTGATCGTATTTACTTTTTTCCCACTTTTTAAAATTAGGAGAAAAATTAAAAAAAAAAAAAAAAAATCACATGGCTCTACACATATCACCCTCCAGAGCTTCAGTTTTCTTACTCCCACCTAGGAACTGGAAACAATAAACCTTACCTACTCCATAGAAAATTTCTAAAGCTTATGCCCAGACTTGCAGACACTCACTGGTTTGGACAGCTTGGCACGACTGGTGGGAGAAGACAGCAAGGAGCAGCAAGAAAAACCCCAGGTTTGTGCAGGCACCTGAGCACTCCCGGGATGACGATGAGATGGAGCACAGGATCAGACACTCACCCTTCTCTCCTTTCCTGCTACCACCATTTACTTTCTGCAACTGCATTTGGCCATCCCTGCTGTCTGAACAGATGCATTAAGATGCAGCCAGCTGCAACATGATGGACACTGTCACCAGACGTGCCAAGCAGCAGTGACAAACAGTGGCCTTGACAAGGGGGATTGATCCTTGGGTTTCGGATCAGCCTCTCAGCCCAGACTTCAGGGTTAGCAGGTAGTTAAGAGATGCCATTTCTAAATCATACACACAACTCTACCTCCCATTCTCCCCCCAGGAAAAAAAATAAAAATAAAAGGAAAAAAGAGGAAGGGAAGGGGAGGGGAATGTTTTTTGCCAAAATCTGCACATTGAGCAGAGCAAAGATTAATAAGCCTCCACAGGTTCACAAGGCATAAGGCATCTGCCCATCAACAGTTCTGCATTTTGACATGACGTAGTGATACCAATGCCCTTTTTGCACAACCAGCCACATCTCTCCCAGGGACAAGATGGCACCAATGCTGCTAAGACAAGCCCCATGCTTTGTCAGTCTCCTCCTGCTCTCCCTCCACCTCACACATCTCCATTCAAGATGGAAATCAGGTATAGATTCTGCAGAAGCCTGGCCTCCAGTTTGGAATTATAAATCACTCCTCTCTGTGGTAGCTCTGCCACCTGACTGGTTATCAGCTGTCAATGAATGCACCTGACGAGAAATACCCAACCCCACAAATCTTACCTCAAAATTATCAATCTTGCCAAAGAATAATTTTTTTTCTGGCAAAGAGGCGATTTACAGACCCGTAGATCTTCCCTCAGCTTGGGGCAGTGGCGACAGATGAATTTTCCAGCTCTGCTATTGTGAGCCACATTTATACATCCTCCTCTTGCAGCACTTGGCACAGTACTGCTGATTTATAAACCCCAGCACAGGTTTCACACCTGCCTGTTCGCCATAATTCAGGCTGAGCAACAAGCTGCCCATTGGCAGGGCTGAACAAGTCTCCGAGGGATGCGGATCAGCACCCAAACCCAGTTCTCTGTCCCAATGAGGAACAGATCTTTGCCACACGTGTCTGAGCTGAACATCACACCCAGGCCTCTGTGCTCATGAGAAGCTCATTTCCCTTTCCCATTCCGCATCCTTCCTAGGTATCAACACTGGAGAAGCAAAGTTTCTTAACTAACCCTTCCCAAACTTTTTTTTTTTTTTAAATTTTGCTGAATTTTTGGGTTTGCTATTTTTGTTTTGCTGAAGTTTCAGTTTTCCACTGCCTTTGTAAGGATGCTGTAACGTCAGGCACTGTTTGCAACCAGAAACAGCTCTGGTTTTATTGAGATGACTCAGGACACAGCCCATCGTGTTTCTCAGGCATTCAGCAGCAATAGTGTGTCAGAACAGAACAGCACCTTGGCTTCCAAGCAGGGCCTGGAGGACTGCTATGAAGAATGCAAAACATGGCTCCTCTTAAGACATTAAGAAAAATAAGGAAATAAATAAATAACTCGTCAAAACCACAGAGCAAACCTATAGGTGATCTGAAACGTCACAGTCCCCTCTACCTGCAAGAAACACTCAGCCAAAGAACCAGGTGGCCCACACCTCTGTCAGACCATAAAGCCTTCCACAGACATCGAAGGGAACGCACCTATTCTTCTAGTGTTACCAAATAACTCTAAAAACAAACAAATCCTCAACTGTGGCTGAAGAAACCATGGGTTCAGGAAGCTGTTAGTAAAGCATTTTGTTAGTTTCCGAAGCTAGACATGCAGCAGGTAAATCCCCCCACCCCGAAGCAGGCAGAGGCATGTTCCAAACACCACCTTACCCTACTGATTTGCAGCTTCTCAGCTCCAGGCTTGAAGAGGTTCCATCGACGTCCACCGTTCCTGCAGTTCCCGCGCACCTTCAGAGTCTTTGAAGCCTGTTCATTCTCAGCTGCCAGGAGAAAATCCACAGGAAAAAAAAAAAAAAAAAAGGAATGACAAAAGATAAATGCCGTGCTTTAGCTCAGGCTGGGGGCGGAGGCTGTTCTTTTAAATGAAAGCAACAAAATTGTTTGCAAGAGACTCATTCAACCTCTTCTTTAGAAAAAGAGAGCAGAGAGTATATTTAGGTGCTTTATTCAGTGCTCTTGGGATACAAGAAAAATAGTGCAGCTTGGGTACTACAAAAACGCAGGCACAAACTACGAGCTGAGAGGCAAATTCAGAGGTGGAGGAAGCAGGTGGGGTCACAGAAGCTGGGTGTGAAGGCGGGATGCTCTCCCAGGAGCACCAGGCAGCACGAGAGCCTCATCTGCGTGCACCAACATTAAGAGTGCAAGAGCTCTTTGGGTCATAACTGCTCACAGCACCTCTGCAGGTTGGACCTGCAGAAATCCCAGCTCTACAGTCGCTGTGGTTCATATGATACAATGCCTTGAAAAAAGAAACAGCTCCTCAAACTTCTGCAGAAAACAAAAATGGGACCGTCCATAAAAGCCGTTTTTCAAAGAAACTGGGCTACTTCTCACCCCAAGCATTTCAGGCCAGTCCCTCAGATGTAATTCCGATCTAGCTTTAAGTGAGCTATACCATTTACACCACATCTCAGCCTGGCTTTACAGATGGGACATACCCAGGCACAAAACAGCTTGTAAAGAAGAGGTAAACGGTGGAGGAGGGCTGGCGACTCACCTTTCAAAATTATGCTCTGCTTTTCTAATCAACCCAAGTTTTTAGCTCCCCATCCTATTGTTCTGGTTTTGGGGTGAAGCTGCCATTCTGTGTGAGATCAGGGTTTTCCCCTCCCACATTTGGCAAGGTTAGACTTTAAACCCTTCCTCCACCAGGACTCTTTACATCCCCTAGCCTGAAGTGACGGGCACTGGGAGGAAGGACACAGAGGTGACCACCACTCATGTCCCCACGGCAGATGCCAGCACAGGCTCCTGTCGGCAGGTGCTGGTCTGGGGCAGGGTGTTTCTCTGTGCCTGTGTATGCACACACACACACACAGAGGTGTTCCCATCCCCTGAAGGCTCGTCATACTGTTCATGGAGAAAGGCGTCTACAGAAAACAGCCGAATTCTGAAATTCTTCCCTGAAAGATGCACAAGGCCAACCTTCCTGACTCGCCTCTAACCCAGGCAGAGGTTTCAGACTGTGTCAGTCACGAGGGGTTTGAAACCAGACAGCAAAGGGTAAATCAGTGTGATCTCCACTCTCCCACTCCTGGGGTTTAGGTCACCTTTACCTTACACAGGCAAAACACACATGCACACACACACACCACACGCTCCCTGTCCCCAAACCAAATCGGTGGGGACTCTGCCCTGCCCAGGACGGCAGCACCGAGACCCTGCTGCAGCCCTGGCACGGCTGGGTGGGCAGCAAGCCTGATTTTCTTCCAGCGTTGCTGGGAGAGAGATTGCACTGAGACCTATTTCCTAAACGCGATGCTGACGCAGGCAGCCTGCTGTTATTTTTAGCAACAGGCGTTTCACTTTCGAGGCTGGCAGGGAAGCGAGCTGCAGCGCCAGCGCCGGGTACAGCGAGAGGCTGCTGCAGGCTCCAGAGCCAACGTGCCCACATAGTAGCACTGGGGAGCAACGTGCAAACACAGCAATAGTCACATTTGGAGAGACACCTGCGTTACCTCCCGTGCGCTGGAAACGGGTGCACCCCGACAGAAGAGCCATCAATTAAAGAGGCAGCTGCTTGGTGTTTTCTCCTTCCCGGTTCTCCTTAACCCCGCTGTGCTGCCACCATCCCTTCCCCGCCCGGATCCCCCCTGTGCTCCTCAGCAACACCAGCAGGCTCTGGCAGCAATCCCCTACTCGCCCATTGCTAAATCCCAGGATTCTTGGTGTTAGCAGCATCCCTTCAGGAAATTATTTCCTTACTCTAATTATCAATCTTTTTAATTAGAGGTTCAAAAAATGATGTCAGCCATTCAACCATCAGCCTATTTACCTGCCAACACGAGACCCTTCCAGCAAATCCATTCTGTAGCGCTTTCTCTGGTGTCATTGTGGCCAGGACAAATGAGAGCTGCATTAATCAAGCGCTGCAGAGGATAGCTGGGCTGCCTCTGGCTCACGAGATTCTCTTCTCAATCAGGAAGAGTAACCGAGCAGAGCAGAACAAAAAAACCTCACTTCTTGCTGTGTTTCCAAATAAACTTCAGACTTGAGTTGTGATCTCAGTATCTACTACCACTTGCCACCTCCAAATGGCAAATACTCACAACAAAGGCTGGTGAGAGGACAGAAAGCCAAGAGGAAACTACCAAATGAGAACTCGCTGCTGCTGAACAGCTTTTACACCCCACGTGTCTATTGTTCATCTCCCTGTAACCAAATTACAGGCATTGTGTTCGGAGATATTAAAGAGAGAAAACAGCCTTATCTCATAAATACACTGTATACAAAAAGATGTTATTAGCTAGCAAGAAAATCCTCAACCTGTGGCTATGAGAGCTCCCTCACCTGGCTCCAGGGCTGGAACAAGCATGGGTGCAAACCACACTTGTGACTTTTCAACCCGTGCTGCCCTTAGCTTGCTCTGCAGGATGGGTGAGGCCAAAAAAAAAAAAAAAAA